GAACTTGTTAATTTTGTGCTTGGTTATTTTTACCATTATTTTTCTTGGATTCTTTCTTCTTAGGCTTCAAAGAAGTATTTTTGTGAGATTCAGGAGTAGCATTATTTGAAGTAATTAAATTTACCTTCGTTGTGATGTTACTCTCTTCTTATTGTAAAAGTGCATTTTGTCCTCTTACCTCCTCTTCCATACGGATTTTCATTATCAATGTTTCAAGAGAGGTTTTCCTTTTGTTTGTGGCGCGTAGTTTTTTAAAATTCCTTCCAAGAAGGTGGAAGTTTATCTACTATGCGACAAATAATAAGGTTATCTCCAATTTTGACCTCCTCGGACTTGAACTCTCCAACAATCATTATAAAGTCTTGAGCTTGGTCTACCACTGATTTGTTGTCCACCATTTGGAAATGAAAAAAATCTAGTAGCTGCATATTTTTTGCTCCAACCTCTTCGGTATCATATTAATCATAAAAATTATCAAATAGACAATTAAGAATATAATATCGACACTTGTAGGAATCACCATCATACGTTTCCACTTTTTTTGGATGAGAAATAGTTTCATCATCATTCATAGAGGTGATGACAACTTTATTAGGATTCTTCTCAGTTAACACATAAGAGACATTGAGAAGACTTAAGTAGAAAAGTACTTTACCCTTCCCTCTCTTGAAATGAATACTATTGAACCGAAATGGCTTGTTAAGATCTCCCATCTTGACATCCGCGATTTTTTCAATTGTAGTCATTATGAATCTCCTTAAAATTGTTAGTGAAAAATTACAAGATAACAAAATTACAGGATTACAATCGAAAATAAAGTGAAGAAATTAAAAATTCTTCAGCCTGAGGTGCGGATATTTCGCTCTCTTTAAGGAGATTCAAGTCCACTACAATAAATGTTTTTCACCGGTCAAGCAGTAGTCCTTCTTGACTTGTCCCCTCTAGGATACAACAGTCTAATCACAAAGTGTAACTCAACAAACTCTGGACAAGAGTTGAGTCCAAAGCTCCACAAAAAGAACACCTCTCTCCAACTAATAAGAACTCTCTCTTTTGACTAACTTTTATCCACTCTATATTTTCTTGTATGCACCAAACCAAATGAAAACCACCACTATTTATACTTGTACTAATGCATATTAAATTATAATATATCATCTTGTTTACCAAAAAAACAAGTCTTCCTAGCAATGAATAGGAAAGATAATGGGGTAGTAAAATAGTAGAAGATAAATGGCCTAGGAGAAGTGGCGGAGCCAGAATTTTCAATAAGGGGGTTCAAAATTTGTAGAAATAGACACACGAAATAGCCAAAAAGGGGTTTGACATCTACTATATATACATAAAAAATTATTTCAACCATATATAATTAAATAATATAATTTTTTGTCGGATGGGGTTCAACGAACCCCCTTAGTACAAGGTGGCTCCGCCCCTGCCTAGGAATTACATATGTTACAAGGTATAATGGAGGAACAAAGAATGAGATAATGGAAAAATAATATGAAGAAGTAATGGCCAAGATGCCACTACCGATGCTGCAAGAAAAGGGTCATTACATCAGCACTTACTCCAAATGGGGTAATGCTCCAAATAAATGTCCAACGGTTAAGACAAAAGAATTATCACCAACCGACAACTTACAGCAAAGACAACACCTTGACTCCACAATTTTAAACAAATTAATATACAAAAATATTAATATTAAAATGCTGACCAACACAAAGAAGATTTGGAGCACCTCTATTGGTATAAAGAAGGATACAATTTATGTATTTACATTGACCGATAGTGTTATTTAACCAAAGGGTGTGGCCTAATGGTTAATGAAGTTGGTAGATACCTTGGAGACCAAGGGTCAAATTCCAAGATGGAAAAAGCTAGGTGATCTCTTCCAATCTGCCTATGCCTTGGTGTGCTAAGTTATCCGGTGCCTGTGTAAGTGGGAGGTAGCAGGTATCCCTGGAATAGTCAAGTGGGAGCAAGCTAGTTCAAAATTATTGTTTTAGAAAAAAAGAACTGATATTATTATCAAGGTAAATTGATACTCGTAAGAAGGTTAATCTATGTAGCAGGTATCCCTGGAATAGATATGCTAGCTCTGTTTGTCCCTTTAGTTTAGCGGGCTGAATTTTATTCAGGCCGCAATATGTCAGGGCCTCTAGGCCCTACTAAATAATATTGAAATTCTTAGAGTCATAACCTAAAAGACGTTCTGTTGTTGAACTCGAATCTGCTTGTTCTCTCTTTTGCCACTTTTGCTTTCTGTGCCATAAGTAGGTATTGGACTTCTCCATGACATGTTTTTTCATCAGTCTCAACTCCTTTGTGTATCCCACTTTGCAATATTTTAACAAGTTACCACCATATTTAAGAGGTTTTGTTCAAATTCATATAACTTCGTGTATTGATCAGGAACAATCAAATGTCAGTTTAGAGTTTTAGAAAGGTAAACAATTAATAAGCTAACAATTTTTTTAATTAATTAGAACAATGAAAGAAATTAGCGTAACTAGTGAAAACTAGAAGTACGAAAATGCTACTTATCATGGAACCACGATCAGGCTGAGTTATTAATTTTTATATTGTATGAAATTAATATACAATGATAAATGTATTTACAGTAACATATATATAGTTATTTATGTATTTCTTAATACATATACGACACCCAGGGCCGGCCCTTGCCTATAAAATTTTAGGCATTCTCAAATTTTTATAAATAAAAAATTATGTATCTTAACCCCATTCAAATAGAAGAAATTAAGGAAACATTGTTTTGGATTCTTACATTTTCTTCGTTAACACTCACATTATTTATCCTTTGTAACTCTTTTTGCACTCTATTTCTTCAAATCTTTGATAGTTAGAGTAAATACACTTTCAAAAATATGAATCAATAGTCGAAAAGTGTTGAACAAAGTGCATTACAAATTCTTTTTTTTAATTTATTTGTTAATTTTCATATTAAAGTAGGTATACCAAGTTATCAAACTTTTTTTGAATTCAGATTCTATGATTCTAACTCTTATCTTTAAAGTTTATCAACTTATTACTTATAAAATTGTGTTAATAATTTATATAATAATTGTCTCAATAAAAGGATGTTTTTCAATGCTGAATTGATAAAAATCTTACTTAAAACTAATAATTAAAAAAAAGTAGTTTGAAAAATACATTTATATAAAAGATATTAAGTAGTAATTTACATCTAGAAATTTAGAAAAATAAATAGATATAGATAAAATTTATATAGATTTTAGGCCTCTAATAAAAATTTTGCTTTAGGCCACAAATTATGTTGAGCCGCCCTTGACTACACCTAGGCTACTGGTTTCTATGAATCCATACATTATATATAGTAAGATTACTACACTCAATATGTGATGTGTGTCAAAAATATTGAACTTAGTTGGACGCATCAATTATAAGCTGCCTATGGTGTACCTACTTATATCCACCATATTTTACCCCCAAAATATTTCAATCACTAGAAATAGTTTTACGTGTTTTTTTTTTTTATTTAAAAAAAAACAGAAGCATATTTCTCTAATACATAAGATATTGGTCGGGTATAAGATAATGACTCTTTTTAAATTTAGTTTTATTGTAGGATTCATATTAATTAATAAACATATGTTCTTAATTAATATGATGAAAAAATAATTGATTTACAATTTTTTCAAATTAATATATTTCAATTGAATTGATCATAAAAATTAAAAGTATGAAGTTTCTACAAACATCGTGAAATGAATGTTTGATAAAAAGATAAATATATAAATAAAATGTCATAAATTATTAAAATATTTGACAAAAAAGATAATTTATCAAATCTAATTAAAAAATGACTTGCAACGTATATTACTAAAACAAATGAAACTGAGAATATAACATAAGTTATAAATTTAAAATAAAAAAAATTTAACATAATACTCTTATCGCAAATTTCAACATAGCATACATAAATATGATTTTTAAAAAAAACACCTAAGTCTATAAGCTTACTTAACAATAAATTCTATTTTAATTTAAAAATTAGAATACTAATAAAATTATGCTAATGAGAAAATAAGCATGGCATAAAGAAATAGATAATAAGAAAAAATTGCATAGAATCACGTAGTAAGGTTGAGAATGAGAAGAAAATGAACTATAATAACATAAATAAAAAATAAAATTTTAGAATAATAAAAATAAAAAAAGAACTTAAAATAATAGAAATAAAAAAATTAAAATTTAGGTCATCTACATTTGACCAGACAATAAGCTAATTAGTTTAATGAGTTATTCAACTACTCAGGTCCCTGTCTAACAAACAAAATCCTACAAGTCCTTGTTGCATGCATTCTTAAAAACCTATATAAACCCAATCCCACATCCACTCTTATATATACACATTATTCTTTAATCTTCTAAGATTTGCAGATAAATGGCTCAGCGTTATTACTTATCTTCTCTTTTACTACTTGCATTTCTCAATTTATTCTTCATTTATTGCAACATAACTGGAGCAACTGCACGACACCTTCTAGAGACGCCCCTCTCTGAGATACCTAAACCAGAACTCCCCAAAGTGCCAGCGTTGCCAAAGCCTGAAATCCCAACTGTGCCGAAACTTGCTGAGCTTCCAACCATATCAAAGCCTGAGATCCCCGCTGTTCCAAAGCCTGAGCTACCAACTTTCCCGAAGCCCCAGTTACCAACTTTGCCAAAGCCTAATATGCCTGAGATTCCCACAATGCCAAAACTAGAGTTTCCTCCCTTGAAAATGTCAAAAATCCCAGCAGTTCCAAAGACTGAGGTTCCTCCGGCTATGAAAAAGCCTGATGTTCCAACTTTACCAAAGCTCGAGCTACCGAGTGTGCCAAAAGCCAGAAATTCCAGAACTACCAAAGCCAAAGGTCCCAAAACTTCCAAATCCAGAAGTACCAAAGCCAAATGTCCCCGAACTTCCAAAGCTAAAAGTCCCAACAATGCCAAAGCCTGAAGTAAAAACTATGCCAAAGCTAGAAATCCCAGAATTACCAAGGCCAAAAGTCCCAGAGCTTCCAAAGATAAAAGTCCCAACAATGCCAAAGCCTGAAGTAACAACTATGCCAAAGCTAGAAATCCCAGAATTACCAAGGCCAAAAGTCCCAGAACTTTCGAAGCCAGAAGTACCAACTATCCCAAAGCCTGAAATCTCAGAACTACCAAAGCCAAAAGTCCCAGAACTTCCGAAGCTAGAAGTACCAACTATCCCAAAGCCTAAAATTCCAGAACTACCAAAGCCAAAAGTCCCAGAACTTCCAAAGCTAAAAGTTCCAACAATGCCAAAGCCTGAAATCCCAGAACTGCCTAAACCAACTTTTCCTTCACTTTCTCCACCATACAAACCCGCTACTCCTTGAGTATATTATATGCTACTTTCACTCTATAATAAAGTAGCAAACTGATGTTTTGAGATTTCCATCTCAGTCTATGAAATTTGCCACCTGAGTTGTGTCATGGAGATAGCATTGGATACTTTCTGATAGGAGTAGAAATTTTAATTCTTTTATAGTAGTTTTTGAATTGGATGTACCGAGTTTGTCGTGTTATTATAATATATGAGTGTTTTATGTATTTCTATATAGACAGTATTGATAAATCCATGAATGGAGATTAAGCCTTGGAGAATTCACAGAGCATTTGAGAGAAGAAGAAGGAAGAAGATTGTATTAATGTCTTGATTCAGTGAATTTGTACATACATGCTTATATATACTACTCTTACTATGAATGAATACAAATATCCCTAACAAACTTTGTAACTAACTATTGTCATGTCATCAGCTAGTAACTAACTCTTGGAATCTTCTAACTAACATAAGCTTTGTTATTTCTGCATTTGCTAACACTCCCCCTCAAGCTTATGGTTCAAATATATTTTTCATTCCAAGATTGCTTAGTAGTAGATGGTGTTGTCCTTGTCCAAGACTCTTTGTGAGTAGATCAGCAAGTTGATGATTTGGTGTTAATATATTCTGTCTCTAGTACTCCTCGACAAATTCTTTCTCTTACAAAGTGACAGTCTATGTCTATGTGTTTTGTACGCTCATGGAAGATAGGATTAGCTGCTATTTGTATTGCTGCTTTGCTATCACATACCATTTTTACTGGTACTGTTATATTGACTCCCAACTCTTTGTATAAGCCTATCAACCAGGTTATTTCAGCTGCACATGTGACCATGCTCCTGAATTCTGCCTCAGCTGAGCTTCTTGACACAGTCCCTTGCTTCTTAGACTTCCATGATATTAATCCTCCTCCAAACTTCACTAAATACCCTGTAACTGATTTTCTTGTTTCAAGACATTCCCCCCAGTCAGAGTCACAGTAAGCTGTTAGCTGTGTAGTTTGTTCTGCTGGCATTAGTAATCCTAGACCAGGTGTTTCTTTGATGTATTCTACTGCTCTTAATCCTGCCTCCATATGTGACTCCTTAGGACAATGCATGAACTGGCTAAGAACTTGTGCAGTAAAAGCAAGATCCGGCCTAGTCATAGTCAGATAGAGAAGCTTTCCTACCAACTTTTGATACATTTCAGGACTAGCAAGTGGTTTATCATGGTCAGGACTTGAACCATTCACATGCTCATCATATTGAATTGATGTGAGTCTTTTGTTCAGCTCCAAAGGTGTATGAACTGGCTTTGCTCCTCCTAGTCCAGTTTCAGACAGCAGCTCCAAAGCATATTTCCTCTGTGTCATTAGGATGCCCTTGTCTGATCTAGAAAACTCAATGCCTAAGAAGAATTTTAATTCCCCTAGGTCCTTCATTTTGAACTTCTTTTAAATTTCCTGTCTTGTATTACATAGGAGCTGGTGGTTGCTTCCAGTGACTAGAATATCATCTACATACACCAATATCACCACAATATCATCCCCACTTTGCTTTGTGAATAGAGAGTAGTCATAATGACTTTGTTTGAACCCCATCTAGACTAGTGCATCAGTTAACTTCATGTTCCATTGTGGAGGTGCTTGTTTCAAGCCATACAATGACTTGTGGAGTTTGCAGACCTTGTGACGCTCCCCCTGTCTAGCAAAACCATAGGGAATGTCCATGTAGACCTCTTCATGCAAATCACCATTCAAGAAAGCATTGTGGACATCCATCTGATATATAAACCATCATTTGGAAGCAACCAAAGCAACCACAGACCGGACAGTCACCATCTTTGCCATAGGACTAAAAGTCTCACCATAATCAAGCCCTTCTTGTTGACTAAAATCTCGAGCCACAAGTCTGGCCTTGTACATTTTAACCTCCCCAGAAGCTAAGTACTTAATTTTATATATCCATTTGCAGCTAATAGGCCTCTTGCCAGGTGGTAGATCCACTATGCTCCAAGTCTGATTGCTTTCCAGAGCATCAATTTCTGCTTGCATAGCCTGTCTCCATTTAGGATTAGTAGCAGCATCCTTAAATGAGCTAGGTTCAGAAACAGCTGAGTAAGCACTCAAGGCCATTCTATATGTCGAAGAGTAATTATAGAACAGGTGATCTGCTAGTGAATAAGAACATGCAGTAGATTTAGGCTTAGAAAAAAAGTCATGCAGCCATAGAGGGGGCTTGGTGGACCTGGATTACCTTCTAGGAAGCACCTCAGGAGCTGGAGAAAGCACTGCAGGAACTGGAGGAAGCACCTCAGTAGCTGGAGGGAGCACACCAGTAGACTCAGGTGAGGCTATTCTAGCACAATCAACAGAGGAAGAAGGTGAAGAGGAAACCACTGGAGGTGGGACAGGAGAGACATAGTCCATAATTGGAAACATAGCATTAGGTGAGGCTTGGAGATGTCTGTAAGGAAACAAATCTTCTTGAAACACCACATGCCTATTTACAGAGAACATTTGTGCATGAATATCATAAAGAATATAGCCCTTTTGTGTGGAGGAGTATCCCAGAAACACAGTAGGAACATCTCTTGCAGAAAACTTATCAGGTTTCTGAGGACTTGCAGCATAACACAAACACCCAAACACCTTGAGATGAGCCAAATCTGGAGGATGCTTGTACAATTTTTCAAAGGAGGATTTGTAGCCTAGTAATTTTGTAGGGATTCTGTTTAAAATATAAACAGCAGAGAGAACACATTCCCCCTAGAATCTCAAAGGTATAGAAGCTTGAAACCGTAAAGCTCTGGCCATATCAAGAATGGTTCTGTGCTTTCTTTCAGCAACCCCATTTTGCTGTGGGGTATACACACAAGTAGTCTGATGTAGAATGCCCATGTTACTCAATAGAGTTTGAAACTCAGTGCTGAGAAACTCACAGCCATTATCAGACCTGAATGTTTTAACACTTATGGAAAATAAGTTTTGAACTCTTGTAAGAAAATTTTGTATAACAACTATTGAATCAGCTTTTGAAGCAATCAAAAAAACCCATGTATATCTGCTGAAGTCATCTACAATAGTAACAAAATACTTCTTTCCATTGTGAGTAGGAACTTTATAAGGTCCCCACAGATCACAATGAATCAATTCAAATACAGCAGTAGTGTTATGAACACTTAAAGGGAATGGAAGTTTAGATTGTTTAGCTACAGGGCACACAGTGCAATGAGAACAATCTGTGAAGTTTAGGGATTTGAGAGACTCATGCCTCCTTATTACATCAATCAGAGCATGTCCTAACCTCCTATGCCAAACATCACTAGAAACAGACTGATCAGATACATGAGATACACTAGTAGTGTGAACTAACTGCTGTGAACTAGACTTGTGACTTGATTCTTCATGAAGAATGTAAAGGCCATGCTTTTCTTTACCAATCCCCTTCACCTGACCAGTGGAGAGGTCCTGGAAAATGCAAAAATCAGGAAAGAATGCTACCATACAATGTAATTCTTTGGTGAGTTTTGAAACTGACAACAAGTTGCATTTGAACTCAGGGATAAAGAGAACATTAGATATGGAGTTGTTTGTGAATACATAAGACCTTCCAACATGAGATACTGATGCATTTTTTCCATTTGGTAGGTGTACTTTATTATCTGTATGAGAATGTGTCTTCGTTGCTTTGTCAACAAGGTCCATGTTAGATGTAATATGATGAGAGGCTCCTGTATCAATAATCCATTTACTGCTACACCTACTACTACAAGATAAAGTTGTAAGAGAGCTACCTGCATTTGCAACAGTTGCAATGTTTGCAGAAGACTCTCCTACCTTGTCTCCTCCAGACTTTGTGAGTAGTTGTAATATCTGTTGGTATTGATCTGAAGTGAAGAATGCACCACTATTTGATCCTGCACCAACTCCTGATTGACATGAGTTATTTCCACTCTCTTCTGAAGCAGTAGCTTGATTAGCATACACATTTGGCTTCCTTTTAGATTTGAAATTTGTAGGATATCCAACAATCTTATAGCACTGTTCCCTAGAATGACCTTTGCACCCACAATGTTCACACACAAGCAATGACTTCCTGGCTTTGTAGCTTCCTCCAGAACTACTGGCACCACTGCTATATCCACCACCAGATCCTCTTGAATATGAACCACCTGCTCCACTTGGAAAGGAGTTTTTAGATGTAACTGTTCCACCACTGTAGGTGTTGCTTCTATGAGTAAACATTGTTGTTCCTTCTATCACCCCTGAGCTATTAGAAGCAGAACTAGCTAGATTTATCTGACTCTCTTGGTCAATAATAAGGGCATAAGCCTTGTTAAGTGTTGGCATTGGACTCATCATGAGAATCTGACTTCTAGGAGTTGAGTAGGACTCATTTAGTCCCATAAGGAACTGTAAGAGTCTTTGATAGTCACAGTGTTCACCAAATTTCTTTGACTCTGGACAGGGACAACTAGGACAAGGCATAAGAGCATCGTACTCGTCCCACAGATCTCTTATCCTAGAATGATAGTCAGCAACAGACATAGTTCCCTGCACAAGTGTGTGAATCTCTCTATGCAATTGAAAAATTCTAGATCCATTTACTGTATCAAACCTCTCTCTCAGATCTAGCCACACTTTTCGTGCATCTGAAGCATATACTACAGAGCTTAGGAGTCCTGGTCATACAACATTCATAATCTAGCTTAATACTACAGCATTGCACTTTTCCCACTGATCAAACAGAATTAGGTTCAAACATGGACTTAGGAAATCGCCCATCTACAAAGCCTAGCTTCTTTTCCCTACCAATCCAATCCTAAAAGACCTACTCCACAAAGCATAGTTTTCTGAACCAGTTAACTGCAGAGAGATCAGAGAACTACCTGGAGTATCAGTGTGTTGAAGAAATAACGGATGATTGTGATCAATTACTGGGAATACAACTTGAGTTGAAGTTCCATTTCCATTTCCAGTGCTTGTCTCCTCAGATGCACTTCTATTCGCCATTGTAGTTGAACTTTACTTTTGATGCTTTCTTTCTATTCACCTTTGAACAGTGGTGAATCTGAGCACCTTTTGTTTAGCTACTTGTTGTTTAATCCTTTACGATCGTGGGCTTTGATACCATGATAACTCTATGAATGGAGATTAAGCCTTGGAGAATTCACAGAGCATTTGAGAGAAGAAGAAGGAAGAAGATTGTATTAATGTCTTGATTCAGTGAGTCTATACATACATGCTTATATATACTACTCTTACTATGAATGAATACAAAATATCCCTAACAAACTTCATAACTAACTATTGCCATGTCATCAGCTAGTAACTAACTCTTGGAATCTTCTAACTAACATAAGCTTTGTTATTTCTGCATTTGCTAACAAGTATAATAAAGCTTTGATATATGTAACTTCGGTTTAGTTCCTATCCTTGACCGTCTCTATTTGTCCATTCTTTCCCTCACAGTTTTTCCTTCCTAATTTATAGTAACCAATTTCTTCCATTACATTTCAAGAGTATGGAATAAAGGATGAATTAGTATATTTAAGTGGCACAAAACGGAGTGGAGCTAACATTTTTATTGTAGAACCAAACTGGTGATTTAACTAATATGTTTTTTGTTTCATTCATCCTAATGCACATTAAATGGATTCAATTTCCTCTGCTTCACCTTCTCCAAAAGAATGATAAGGACAATTTATGCTTCATGCATGATCAGTTAGCTGGTGCAACTACACGAGCCGCTTTCTATAGACATCATTCCCTGAGATCCCTACACCAGAATCCCCGAATATTCCAGCCTTACCAAAGCCTGAAATACCAATACCTTAAGTATTAACTATACCAAACCTAAAATTTCAGCGTTCCAAAGCTATATGTATCCGTGGCGTAAGCAAAATAATTTGTAAGTGTGTCCATATTTAAAGGAACAAATATTGTAGCGACATTATATTAAAAATATTAGTTTATTACTATAAGTTTCGTCGGCGAGTTCTCATTTTTTAAAATGTATTCATAACAGTATACATATTTTTTAGTCATAATAATCTCGTTAGAAATAGTCGTATAAGGTAAAAACACCAAACAACCACTTAAGAACTCTTTATTCATTTGATTTCACTTATCAATCTTAATCAACTTCATCACGGAAAAAGCAATACGCCAAGTCTCAAGTAATTTGATAGTGATACTTAAAGTATTACCTATAAAAGATTGCAGTAATTATGTACACACCAGAATGAAGATTTGAGGTAAAAAAGTGAAAACTTCTTCTCTTTTCAAAGAAATGAAATCAGCTAAGCTAAGAATTCTTATCAGGTTGCCAGCATAACCTATATGCAAGAGACGGGTTTAGACTGTTAAGTAATTTAGGTCATCTAAATTGACTTTTCAAGTACCAGGATGGAAGTTGATTAGTTTGATGAAAAATTCAACTACTCAGGTCCGTGGCTAACAAACAGAAAGTCCTTGTAATTGCATTCTTGAAAACTATATAAAGCAACAGACTTAAAGCTAATGCCACATCCCAATCACATTGAGTCCTACAAATTATTCTTCTTTTCGCTTCAACTATTTGCATAAAAATGGGTCAGCATTCCAACATATCCTCCCTCTTACTATTTGCATTTCTTAATTTATTCTTCATTCATGGCAACATAACTGGTGCGGTTGCACGCCACCTCCTAGAGATGCCTGTCCCTGAGATACCTAAACCAGAACTACCAAAGGTTCCAGCCTTGCCAAAGCTTGAAATCCCAACTCTGCCGAAGCCTGGGCTTCCAACCATACCAAAGCCTAAAATTCCAGAACTACCAAAGACAAAATTCCCCAAGTTACCAAAGCTAAAAGCCCCAACTATGCCAAAGCCTGAAATTCCAGAACTACCTAAACCAACTCTTCCTTCACTTTCTCCACCTTACAAACCTGCTACTCCTTGAGGAAATTATATACTACTTTCACTCTAATTGGAAGTAACCTACTTATGTTTTGTGATTTCCACCTCATTAAATGAAGTTTGCGACATGAGTCGAGGAATGGAGGTAGTATTGGATACTTTCTGCTCGGAGAAGAAATTATAATTCTTTTATAGTATTTGAATTGGACGTACCATGTCTGACGTGTCATTATTCTATATGAGTGTTTTATGTACTTCGTTATAAATAAGGAATGATCTATGTTATTTTGATTTAGTTCGTATCATTGGCAAGTTCTGTTTTTGCTCACTCCTTACACTCATGCCCTCTCTGTTTTTTCTTTCCTAATTTATACTAACCAATTTTTTCCATTACATTTTAAGAGTATATATATGGAATAAAGAATGAATTAGCATATTTAACTGTAGAACTAAATTGATGATTTAGCTATTTTTACTTTTTGTTTCGTTTGTCCTAATGCATATTAAATGGATTCAGTTTCCTCTATTTCGCCTGCTCTAAAAGAAAGATGAGAATAACCAATGCTTCATGCTTAAATGTAGCATTATTTTTTTAAGGTAAAAACAACAATCAACCACCCAAAAACTCATCATTAATTTGATTTGACAAATCGATATTAATCAACTTCATAGCCGAGAAAGAAATAGCCAAGTCCCAAGTAATTGTAGCCAATAATTTCCAAAGCTCGGGTTTTACATGTGGTGATCAAATATTTGAATCCGAGTAGCGTTTATGGTTATTTAGTGTCCCTTTCGTACAACAAAATTTGTTGTGGCTAACTGATTTAGTATATTTTTTCCTTACAAAAGGTAGAAAGTCGTATCGATTCTACCAGGCCATCACTTTTTTATCAAACAATAAAACTCTAAAATTTTAAAATAAAAGATGGCAGTTACTGAGTAACCGTGATAAGTTTGCTAGCAAAGTTAGGTGCTTTGCCAGTGAACCAACAGGCTATGGGAAGTGATTTCATTTGGTTTTTTTATTTATAATTGAAATATTTTATTTTACATATATGTATTTGATAAAATTTTGGATGCCCTTCATCCTACCTAAATCCGCCCCTGTATGCAATGCAACAGTCCTTTTATATGAATCTGATATGCTATTCTTTCAGTATTGACTTATTCTTTTTCATTTCTTGGAGAATTGTATTGACATTTGCAGTATATTGTGAATCCAGGACTTCTATCTTCAAATATAAGCTACTCTATCCGGTCCAAAACCTTAATTACCAACTTTGCCAAAGCTTGAGATCCCAACTATCCCAAAACCAGAGCTTCCTGCTATATGCCAAAGTTTGAGATTCCAGCAATGCCAAAATACCCGAGCTTCCTCCCTTGAAAAATCCAAAAATCCCACAACTACCAAAGCCAAAAGTTCCAGAGATTCCAAAGCCTGAACCAACTTTTTCTTCACTTTCTCCACCATACTACTCCTTGAGCAAATTATATGCTACTCACTCTATTAGTAAGTACTCAACCGATGTTTAAAGATTTTCATCTCAGTACGTCTATCAAGTTTACGAGATGAGCTATGAGTTTGGCAAAACATATTGGATACTTTCTGCTAGGAGTAGAAATTGCAATTCTTTTATACTATATGAGCGAGTGTTTTACTCTGGCTTAGTTCCAATATATCATTGGCCGGCCATGATCTCTATTTCTGCTCAATCCTTGTTTTTCCATCACATTTCGAAAAAGGCTCTATTTGGTTTCATCGTGTAAAGGAAATTGAAAGTGCCTATGAAGAATTTATGTTTTATCGGTTCAATTTTTAAGATTTTTAACATTTAAATTAATCTATTTGTAAATTAAAAGTAAGGATTCTGGCCTATTATTTATTTTGATTTTAGTGATATTTTTACACATAAACTCCGCGCCAAAATTACTAGGTTCATATGAATCTAGTATTTCGTGCTGCAATTTCCCCTTCCTGCTTTGTCACCCGAAAACTCATGATTTGTGTCACCAAAGGTGACTCCATTCCCGAAGCTCAAAGTTAAGGACGTCTAATTAAGGATTAATAAATATTTATTCTTTCCACATCTCTACCACAATGATTGATGATATCTTAGTAGTAGCTACTCTTTCTGTCACTATTATTCCATAAAAGCCTAATTTTGTCTGCAATCGATATAAGTATAGTTTATATGTTTGAAGTTATATTAGACTTTTTATTTCTTTAACTATGACATCTCAAATGTTATCGTATTTTACTAAAAATATTACGTATTATTTTGTAGATCGTTGATCACAACTTTTAAGTATTCATATAATGGAATGCTTTCTCCATCAAATTAAATTATCAACAATTATTTTAATGTTCTTAATAATCATATCATATATCATATATCATATATATATATAAAAGAGAACCCTAGGCCCGCCTACGTGGCATCACCACAAACAAGAATTCCCTTTTAATTTATTTATTTCCAAAACTAGCCTTCCCTTTTCATAAAAAGTTGTGACTTTTATGAGAAGTTGTAACTTTTATGAAAAGTTGTGACTTTTATGAAGAGTTGAGACTTTTATATCAAAAGTTGTAACTTTTCTGAAAAGTTGTGACTTTTATGAAGAGTTGAGACTTTTATATCAAAAGTTGTAACTTTTCTGAAAAGTTGTAACTTTTCCGAAAAGTTGTGACTTTTATGAAGAGTTGAGACTTTTATATCAAAAGTTGTAACTTTTCTGAAAAGTTGTGACTTTTATGAAGAGTTGAGACTTTTATATCAAAAGTTGTAACTTTTCTGAAAAGTTGTAACTTTTCTGAAAAGTTGTGACTTTTATGAAGAGTTGAGACTTTTATATCAAAAGTTGTAACTTTTCTGAAAAGTTGTAACTTTTCTGAAAAGTTGTAACTTTTCTGAAAAGTTGTAACTTTTCTGAAAAGTTGTGACTTTTATGAAGAGTTGCCACTTTTATGAAAAATTGTAACTTTTATGAAAGGTTGTGACCTTTTCGAAGGGTTGTACCTTTTCCAAAGAGTTGTGACCTTTCCGATAAGGTACAATAAGTATTTATTCACACTACCCTTTGTTGTCTATAAATAGAGGGATTTCTTGCCACTATTATTTGTAGGTTTTTTTCCATTGTAGGGTAGTCGAATTCAAATACATTAATTAAGCTTCTTATGAAGTTTGTTTCATTCGTCAAAGTTTTCTTCCTCCTATTTCATGGAGCTTAATCTTTACTATAAGTCATAGTGATTCATGTAATTATGACAATTCTTTTTGCTATTTTAGTGACTTTTTTTTAACTCTGTTAAAAGTTTCAGTAAAGATGATTGAAAATTGATCTTCTCTTTTGTCCCTTTCTACAGGTTTCTTCGTATAAGCAAACAAAATTGATTGTGAATTCAAGGCGACATTACTACTCTTGCACCTCTCATTCCACAACTCATAACGGTGTTGAAATGGTTGAATTCATTACATTGGTTCTTTAGTAAAAAAACTTTATTTCTGCCACTATTATTTGTAGGTTTTTTTTTTATAGGGGAGTCGAATTCAAATACATTAATTAA